GCATCAGTTACAGTGAAATCTCATTTAGGAAAAAAATCAGGACAATAAATATACTCCAGAATTCCAAGCATTTGTTTTGAAAGTGCAGTCTGCAATTTTTCCTAAGGTTGTCACTGGATTTGCTTCATTTTGGACAGATATTTTATTTATAAGATTTATATCCCACTTTTTAAAACAAAGAACTCTACAAGGTTTACTTAATTCTCCTCATGCTCCCCATCACACCCCCACAACAACAACCCTGAGAGTCTGATTGGCCCAAAGTCACTCAGTGAGTTTCATGGCCAAATTGGGACTAGAACCCACATCACCAGAGTCCAGGTCCCAGGCTCTTAACCACTACACCACACTGACTCTCCATTTGACTGAGTGGTACAGGCTGCATTTACCTCCTTTTTTGGGACTGAGAAAACAATTATAGCCAGTTTGTGGATAGTTCAAAGGTCCTGCACTCTTAAGCATTGCATCACTGTGTGCGGTAGTGGTTGTGAGCAACAAATGGACAGGGACCACCTCTCAGGAGGATGTTCCTGCCTCTGAGTCTTCAGCATTACAGCAATGTGGGGCATCTCTGCTCATCACAGGCAAGTCATCCTCCACATCTAGATCTGGACCTAAAGGAACAAATGTGCATGCATTGAAGGTATATTATAATGAAGCACAATTTGTGATGCAGCAGAAAATCATAAGGGACATGTGATTTGGAGCATAGCCTTAGGTTTGAGTTTTCTGTCTTTGTGGCATTGGAGGCATGGTGCATATCTTTGACTAAAATTGGTCTTAAACTGGCAAGCTGTTTTGATATCACAATGGTTTTTTTCCCCTAATTGAATAGATTCTAAATATCTTATCCAAACCCTCTTGAAAGATTTGGGGTGGGGGCATTTCACCAGTGTCCCAACATAATACTGTTTAACTCCCTATCCTTTCCCTAGTCTGAATTTTCAGCCAAAAATTTTTAACAGAGGGCACTCAGAAACATAGAAACAGAGTGAGCCAGAAAGGGTCTCCTGGGCCATCTAGTCTGACCCCCAGGTCTAGCCACCTCCACTTGGGACAGGCCTACCATATTGTATCCCTGGCAGATCCCTCAATTTAANTATATTCTGTTGTTGTTAGTCGCAAAGTCGTGTCCGACCCATTGCGACCCCATGGACAACATTCCTCCAGGCCTTCCTGTCCTCCACCATCCCCCAGAGTCCAACTGCTTCAGTGACTCCATCTAGCCACCTCATTCTCGGCTGTCCCCTTCTTCTTTTGCCATCTATTAGTGACAGTGATTATCATGTACGATGAGCACATTAGAAAAAGCAATGGAAAGAAGTGAAGACAGGGAGAGAAAGAGAAATTTGGTTAATATTTAAAGATGCCTCTTTAAATGTGCTCAAAGAGGGGAAACAGAGAATGGAACACATGAGTTTTGACATAAACAATCAATAAATGTTGAGTTGACAATGAACAAGGAACTGCTATCCCTTATTTTATGCCTGCTTTCCTGAGAGTTTTTGTTTAGTGAGTAGAGCCTGAGAAGAAGGAAAAGAATACCATACCATGAAAGGACTAAAGAATCGATAGTTAAATTCCAAAAACGTATTGCTAAGGACTCATCCTGTTATATATCAAATACAAAGCATCCAGTATATGATTTGACATATCAAAACAGTTTACAAACTGAATTAACAATGGTACAATCCTTTATAGAAATTTGTACAACTTGTTACAATACCTTGATGAGGCAAGCTTCAGATATAAGTGTGCTTGCATCTACCACTTCCACAACAGCTTCTGGAATTACTGCTTTCTTCATGCAGGACATGCGGAATCCATACACATCATCCCAGAACGCAAATCTATCTGCATGTTTACTGAGGTCACCTACAGCCACCAAGTTAATGGTGCAGATATCAGGATACACTGCAAACAGACATTATTTAATTATTACTATTGTGTAGCAGATTATACTGCAGAAAAGAAACAAATCACTGGCTTGTATAGTAACTATTTTATTTTTCTTCAAATTTCAATGCAACAATTGCTCAGCTGCATGTCCGAAGTAGATATCATTAGCACTAACATGCAAGTACAGTCCTGTGAAAAGAACATCATATGAAAACCTGCATATACTGAAAATGTTCGCACCATCTTCCTGACACATTTTGAATATATGCAGAGGAAAGATCAAAGTTTCCAGTTTTTGCATAGCAGTTGCTCCCAAAAAACTTTCTGGAGGGAAAAACTGAGGGCATAACTGTTGGTAAAAGAAGAAACTTCTTATTTGCCAACAATGCAAATATACGTAAGTAAAATAAGCAGTATTACTTGAGATAATGCAACAGTTCTGAAGTGATAAACCAGGCGCTGAGTCATTTTTGAGTAAATGAACATACAACATAGAATGACAGTTATCCAACATGTTTTTTCTACATACACTTCTCCCCTATAAAATCTGTTCTCTCTTGTGTTCGATAATGCAATCCTTACCACACTTATGCAGAAGTAAGCACCATTGAATACAGTGAGTAAATTATGAATAGGACTGAACTGTAAAATGTTCTTATTATACATGAGGGAATAGAAGACTGGGAAAATCAAATTGAAAAATTAAGTACATCCTTCATATTATTTGTGGAGTGGGGGAACATTAATCAGTACCCTGAAAAGCCATTTATGCTATTAGGTCACATACCGGTCAATTAACAATGCAATTCTATACATATCTTCTCAGAAGTAAATCCCATTATGGCCAATGAGGTTTAGTCACAGGTACAGGATGCAGCATATGTTATAAGGCAATCATGTAAGTTAGGAATCTCTACCCAATAACCTACTTTATTTGCCATGCACCTCACAGTGGGACAAACAGATACTGAATTTTATTTTCCCCAGTGGTTCCTGTCAGACAAGACGGGTGACTTTTTTGTATCACTCTCTACATTCTAGAATTTTCCCTGGATTATTGTCAGTTTTGCTGTGTACCGGCAGATACAACATTCCACCACAAGGATCTCTTTCCAAAACAACCCCATAAAGCACTTGCAAATGGGAACATTTGCAAAGAAGCACTGTGATGCTCTCAGGATTAGCTGGAGAATGGAATGGAATGGCTGGCCGACAGAAATCATAAGTCCCATGGCAGTGAAAAGTGCCTAACCCATGGCAAAAGCAGGGTGATGGTAAGCCCATGCACAACTTTTTACAGTGTTTGTATTTCAGCTAGGCATTGTTCATTTGATATTACCAGAAGATTTGCTGCTTGTGTGTCACAAGTCAGAAACTAGTATGAATTACAATTTCAGTCCCTTTGTTCTGTGGATATTCAGCTCTTAAATACAAGAAAAAAAATATAACAGAGAAGTAGAATGAACCAAGAGGAATGAATATCAGTTAAACATACCAGTTATCAGTTAAACATATATACCAGAACTTTTCTGCATTTCTTGTTCAGCATTTCTTGTTTATCAAATGAGAGAGCTACTGAAATAGAAGCCGCTGAAAGAAAAGGAAGCTGACAAAACCCTGCTCTCTGTACTCTGGCAACTGTGGCCCTACATCATACTGCCAAAACATTAACAGTAGAAACCAGGTCACAAAATGCATACTCAGGTCCCCTGGGCATGCAGATAGTCTGATGGGTAATGCTGCTGTTGCTGCTTCCGCTCTGCCGCCGCCACCCTGTTCATTTCTATACCCTGCTTGGGCTACAGAGATTTACTGTCAGCATTGGCTAAGCACTCTTTAAAAACATTGGCTATTAACTAGGGGAAGACCAAGGCTATGATTTTCCCTAGGACCCTGAAATTGTGGAGAATTGGTATTTTTTCTACTGAGCAAGTTTCCTCATATTGATACTGGAGTGAGCTATTCTCGGCATCTGGTGGCAGGGCTAGGATGCTGGGGCAGTGTAAGTAAAACAAACAAACAAACAAAAAACTAAAGACCAAGAAACATGGAATATTGACAGTATAGCCAGCAAGGAGTGGTCATCAAATGTAGTCAATCTTGAATGCAAAATTTTATCTAACCTCTCCTATGGAGGAGAGATAAGAGGTCTGAAAATCTCCTTGGATACAGAGGAATTTCAAAATAAATTAATGAATATGATTCTTGGTGTTGCCAAGGCTACCCTGTAACGTTCCTATAAACAGAAACTTGAACTTAATTAGTTTCAGGAGTCCATTTGAATTCTGAATCATTCAAAGTCTGAATCAATTTTCCCCATTAGACAGAATGGAAAGTGAATTAATCCATTCCAAGACCCTAAACAATACCCGTTTGGATAAACAGCAAATACGGCCTCCTGAAATGAATTAAGTTTGATGTACAAAGCACCACTGTATTAGAATATATGTTAGTAAAGTTATGTTAGTGGATTTACTCTATCTTAGTAAAGAGTTGTTATATACTCGCATATAACCAAAATATTAAAAAAACCCCTGAAAACTGAAAACACACAAAAATGCATGCACTGAAAATCCACAAGTGTTACACAAGAGATGTTTCACAGGAAGAGATGACTTGGGTGCACAATGTTTATGCTGCAACCACATTTTTTTTACTTCGCATGCAATTCAGATATAGAAGCATCATTCAAACTTCGGAGACATTTTATCTCAACTTTAATGTTCAAACTTTGGATTGTTTGAAGATAAGGGTCATTTGAAGTACAAGGCACCACTGTACAATCATAACTGATATTAGGACTTTTAATTCTACCGTCAGAAATGCCCTAAGTAGTCTCAGAATACAACTGTTAACTGCTGTCTTTAAAAGATGTTTTTAAAAAATATTTGATGATTCCAGACTGTCCATTTAGCAGAGGGTAAGGGGAAGGGTTCTTTGTTGCTTGTTTTATGATCCTATTTCATTTGTAGCTCAAACAAATTTTTAAAATCCTGTCCTTCAGGGAAAACTGCTTGGACTGACTTAGAAAAAAATCTTTTTTCACATTTTACAATAAGGCATTTTCATTGGCAGTGGTGGATTTAGCCCAGCAACTGTGAACTGATTTCCTACTGTATGAGAATAATAAATCTATTTTACTGATTATGAAATAATACTTTTGATGGGTTTTATTATATTTTTCTGTTTTGTGGTAGTTGTAACCAATGGCTGCAATAATAAAAATTTATCAAATGTAACAATTGTGGGGGTCATGTTTAAGTAACAGAGCATTGCCAGAAAAGAACTGGGCCAACATAATGCAATTATTTCCCTTTATCTAAAAATCAGAATGGTGTCATATTTTGAAAAAGCCATTTCAATGATGGTACCGTTCAGTTCAATGCATGTAATTCATGGTAGAAAAGCTACTCCTATGTAAGACTTTTTTGCTCCCAGGTCTTATATATTTTGTCACTTAGTTTTTATCTGACTGAATTATTTCTCATCACAAGTAATGTTAAAATGCTGATCAGACATATCTCATGGCAGCACACTTCAGAAATTCATGGGTTTGTCATCTGTGTCCTTCTCGACTCACTGCCCCAAAGTCATTTGTCATTAGTAACAGCTCATACCGAGAGCAGAGTACAATAGGAAAATCTTTTGTCCCTCAGCAATGCCTCACAAATTTAAGGATACTAAAAGGGTGTTACTACAGAAGCTATGGGGCTATAGGCATGCTTATTAAGTGAACATCTGAATGGAGGAAAGCAAATATACCTAATCATTCTGTCACACAATAGTTTTTGGAAAATATTAGGTAGGCAGGTCAATGATACAGCAGCTACTGGCCCACACTACAAGTACGCGTTACTACATATAAGTCACTGTGAAAATGGGATTATGTCTAGAATAAATTAACATCTAGCTAAAATAATAATATTTTAAAAAACACAACATTGGTACTTACTGGGAAAGTTCCTTCTGGTTGGTCCAGAGAAGACTTCCCCATTGTTGCTGGTACATGCTGTCAAGTCATCTCCAACTTATGCAGACCCTATGAATGAATGCCTTCCAAACAACTTGTTCTTTACAGCCTGCTCAGCTCTTGTAAACATAAGGCTGTGGTTTCTTTTATGGAATCAAATGATCTCATATTCTGACTTGCTCTTTTTCTTCATTTGACTCTCCCTAGCATTATTGTCTTCTCTACTGCCATCACCATTAGAGATATCCATTCCCTCTGCAGATGTGACCATTACTCCTGAAGAAGGTGAATGCATCTCAGTCTGGTGGCTCATTTTTTACTATTCCACCTTGGGTCACCCTGTTACAAGACCAAACTAGTGAGAATGTCTGGCCTCCTGGCAGTATCACTCTTGGTTTCTTCACACTTTCAACCCCCTTATCACATTTAAGATATGAACCAAGCGGGAGGGGAGGCGTCCCTGCAATGGGTTAACTCCCTTCACAGACCTAGAGAAAGGAGGTAGTTTCTGTGGTAGTTTCTATGTAATCTATTGTTCTCAGGCAATTCCTTTCCAATTCTGTCCATAGTTGCAGCTCAGAGGTGGAAATGAATGAATCTGCTTAACTGGCAATAAAAACAGAATCATGGAAGGAAAAGACTAGTCTTACAGAGGACAACATACCTTAAGTAAAGGCAGATCCTCAAAAGAAGGCCCAGCCCCATAGATGCAAAGGCAGACAGACTGGGGAGTGTACTGGAACAGCCTCAGGGCAGCTTACAACATCAAATAATTCTTTTATTAGTTGTGGCTGTCATGCCTTCTGCAGACCAAACCAAAAAGAAACTTCTAGGTAGGTACTGATGTACCATTCTTGTTTTATGTTAGCAAGGTATGCTAACTATGACTCAGAAAGGAATATTTGCATGTTCTGAGTCTAAAAATAGGAAACTACCTGTTGAAGAACCCACCTTCTAAAGGAGTTCTCTAGAAAAGCGAAAGTGTGTGCAAGTAGTGAAGGAATTTGGATTTGATCAAATGTAACATACAAATACCATTATCTTT